GGCCTTCCAGACACTTTGATGGTGTGAATGTTGAGCCATATTTGTAGAAGCCACCAAGGGCCACCAGTGCCGATGACCTAATCCACAGCGAAACTAGCTGATGCTGAACCCAGGGTTTGGTACAGAGCTCCTAAGAGATATTTTCCCAAAGGGAATTGCCTCTTTTCTGAAAGGGCTTCAGCTAGGTGCTGCCAATTAGAAGTGGGACTGCAACTTGGGCCACAAAACAGAAATTTCTCAAGCCACATCATCAGGAAAGTTGTATGTTCTCTCGGGGTGACTGAACTAGTTCCCATGTTGTCAGTGATGAAACTGGTCCAACCGCCTATAGCCCTAATCTTGTAAGAAAACTGGCCCTTGGTATCGTCTTTAGCTAATACTGATGTTATGTGTGCATTAATTAATGATAACATTCACGAAAAACATAATTGCTATATATATGCACATAATCAGGAAACTACAAGGTTATTTTTCTGTATCCAAATATACCCATATATCGATAGATAAAACAACTACATTGCCAAGAAACAAATCATTATGCTCCATAAACAATCTGAAACTCTCATTTTTCAAATATAAGATCAATTTACACGCTAACTGCTTACAGGACCAATCTAACGATGTATATAAAATTAAATCTATCTCAGATCACACAATTAAAAACATTCCTCACTTTCTCTAAACAATTGCACACAACAGAACTTTAACCTAGGAACAAAATAAATTGATTACGAAAATAGATAATCTTGCTCAAGAAGAGGACTTCCTAAAGAAGAATCCAAAGCAAAATGCTTCATTACCTGAATCAAATGCGTAGGCATCGATGACTCCGAATACATAACCAATGCAAGCAAGCGGCTGGCGGGGAGGGAAGAGAGCTGGCTAGGGGAGGTCAGAGAGCCAGCTGGAGCAGAGGTCAGAGAGCCGGCCGTCGAGGATGGCAGCAATGAGACGGCGGGGGGCAGTCAGGTGTTGACGGTCATTAGCGATCAGTTTCGACCATCAATATTACCAAAATAGAGGAGAACTAGCAATGCTTGCAATGCATATATATGTTAGAATAATAATATTCCACTAGTATTAGGGTTACTAACCTTTTTCAGAGAATACCCATAAAGTGAAGGAGAATCAACATCAACTCAGACGATAAATCAATCGGACGATGTCGAGAATCAGACTTATGCATGAATGGGCCAAGAACTCAGAATTGACACGATGAATTGGGCCAAAATTCACAAGTCTACGGAGTGGAGAAGTCCAGGAGGCCACCAGCCAAACTATGGGCTGGATTGGTTGGCCCCTGGTTCGGAACCTCCCTCGCCGCCGTTGGATGCAAGGCTTCTTCTGGACGGTTTAAATTGGCTCCCAATGACGATTGAAGGGTATTTCCGACCATACTAACCGTGACAATCGTCATTGGGAGGCTATATAAACCCCTCACCTTCTCACCTCACTCACACACCTCAAGCAAGAGCTCTTTCATATTCTCTCAAGTTAGTTTAGTGATATTAAGCTAGTGGAATGGGAATAGAGTAGAAATCAGGAGTCCAGAAACCTTCGGAAGAGTTCGGGTATGGCTCTAGTAGCTTTTCTTTCCTCTTTTGTAAGCTTTGTACTTTTATTAGAATACTCTTCTTTACATTTATGGTATTGAAATACTTTCCGAGTATATGAATGCCTACTTTACATTATGTTCATGTTATACTCTGCTAGCTTATCTGGGAGATGCTTTGGTGCGGGTATAATGTTTGCATATGCAATTACTCTATGTCATGACGATGATATTAGAGTAGTATCTAGTCGTTTAGACGTGGTGTCTAGATTATGGGATATCATTATTTGGGGTTATATGCTACGGATGAAAGGTGGGCCGCTGATGGTGACAGCTCAGTATGGGTATTCCTCCACGTGTGTATATAGTCCTAAGTTAATTCCCTGGGGAGGGTACTACTCCGTATTTAGCCCCGGTTTATGGTCATGACGGGCTGTCGTAAGGAACTCGGCAGTTACAGGTTGCTTCTCGAAGTACCAGGAGGGCATCGGATAGAGGGTATTAGCTGGTATATCAGTTGACTAGAATGTATGTATACTATGTATACTAGAAGTAAAGGAATAGATTCTCTTTCTCTTTTCTTTGCACTTAGCATAGATATTTTATTATGAGAATGAGTAGCTTAATACTTGTGTGTCACTCTACCCTTGAATCATCTTAACCCCTGCTTAGGCTATGATTATCACTAGTAATATATAAATTATTAGTCAAGTTCTCTCTACCATGACCTTCCCACGGGATTAAACAAATACGATGCCCTTGGAATTCTCTTGGGTGAAATGCTACAATAGTATATCCGTGCGCTTGCGGATGAACTCTGTAACCATAATATACTAGGAGTATTTCTGCACCATTACTGAGAATTATATTTCTAGTAATGTCGTTAAGAAATGTGAACAACATGCGGCCGCTGGGAGGGGAGGAGGGGGCGGCAGCGACAAGGGCGGGAGAGGGCAGCGAGGGGATAGCAGCAACGAGACCGGGGAACACAGAGAGGCGGCCGACGGGGAGCGCAACGACGTGGCTGGCAGAGAACGAACCATGAAGAGGATGTCGGGCTCCAATGCCACTCGCAACAGGATTCGTCGACGTCGAGAGTTTGATTCCCATGATGGAGGGGAGTGGAAGGTGACGTCACAGCGATGGAGATGGTTGAACAGCGGCAATATAGCGGCCACGCAAAGGTGGAGGGGTGGCGCGCCGGTGGCACCGGATTGCACAAAGGGGAGGGCCGGTGCGGCCAGGCGAAGGTGGAGGGGTGTCGTGGCGGCGCACTGGGTCGCAGGGCATGGGCGGCGCGGCCATGCGAAGGTGGAGACGGAGGGGACACGATGCGCAGTGGCGGCTGGATGAGTGGATTACGGGCCACGAACAGGGAAAACGATTGGAACACGAAATTACTGTAATACCCTTCCACCAAAATTAAGAGGACTAAAATACTCCAGAAAATCAACGGTGATATGATACTACTACACTACTACTCGTAACAGTGGGGTACTATAAAACACCACACGGAAAAAGGTTATCATCATTGTCTGAAGTTTAAATCGAGAAACTTAATACTAGTAATCAGTATCAGGGACTGTTAGCTTAACCTACAAACCAAAGTTAAATGCACAAAGGAAGCAGCGGACTGATGGCTGCTACACACCTGGTCAACCAGTCGATAATAGTATTCGTATAAAGCATGTGCGTGAGGACGAGAAACACGGGGTGACGCCTGCGCGTAGGGCGGTAGGGGTGGGCATCACCGACATAGAGCAGGTACTCTATAACCATATATCGAGAAGAAAAGAGAAGATAAAGAAGAAAAGCGAGCTACAGATTTGTAGCCGGCTGCAACACGGACTCTAAGATTTTATGTGTGTATGAGAGGTGGAACCGGGTATTAATGATGTAGTATATTTTTATATTTAACTATTATATGAATGAGCTATTAGATTGGCAATAGATGTTTTGGAGCCAATGGTTGACTATACTATTGACCTTGCTCTAAGAATAATCACGTGCTTGAACGATCTCCTGATCTTTTTTTCTTTTTGAAGCATCTTGAACGATCTTCTCTTGTCGTTATGATGCATGCATGGATGTCATTTTCGCTATATTTTTGGCTGGATGTACTTAAGTGCAGAGACCGGACATACATATTATTTATTTCTTCCATTATTAAAAGAAATGGATGTCATTTTCACTTGGGCAGATTAGCCTGCTGAGCTGTCTTCCACGTTATCCACACGCGAAAGGAAGAATGATGTGCTCCCTAAGTTCCGAGAATGAGGGAGTATAAACACTTTATACTTCTGATAAATTTATGTTAAAATATAAACTGTTCTACCATTAGTTTCATCCCTTATCTCTCATCCAAATCATTTTTAAGCTTATCTTCAACCATACTTCATTTAAATAAGAAGCACAAAACTTGTTTTACCATAATATTAATTTCTGCTCAAATAATTTCGAAATACTCATATTTTAACAAAGCAAATGGAAAATATAAGGGGTCGTTCCTTGGCGCACACGTGCCAACTGCCCCCCCCCCCCCCCTCTCTTCTCCCCGCGCCTTTCCACTTATGTTGCATTTTTTTCTTTTTGTTTTTTTCTGAATCGCGTGTGCTTTTTCTTTTGGTGTTTTAATGCATTTTACAATTTATATCTCTCATCTCAAATTTCAAAACATTCTATTAAAAACATTCAACTCAAAATTTAAATTCAAATTTAAACTTTCATCCCAAATTTTGAAATTTTTAATTCATATTTTTAAAATATTTAACTTAAAATTTAAAACATGAATACATCTTGAGGTGAAAGTTTACAAATCTTAGCTATAAAATTTTCCAATCGTCTAAGTTGAAAGTTTTTAAATTGTCTTGGAGTTTAAATTTCTAGTTTGAAGTTTTAAAATATTTCAGTTTATAGTTTCAAATTTTATGTTGAAAGTTTTGAATATTTGATTTGATTATTTCGAGTTGAAAACTTCCAAATTTTAAGTTTAGAGTTTTAAATTTTGAGTTGAAAGTTTTAAATTTTGGGTATGATTTTAAGCCAGTGGTAAAACTTGGGTACGATTCCAAAACTTGTTTTACCACTGGCTTGATTGATTTTAAATTTTTAGTAAAATACGTATTGGGGAATTAACCTCGCGTGCTACTTAGCTCGCCCACACATACGCGCTGAATAGCTGAAAGCCTGAAAAGTGAAAACCTGTAATGTGAGTCATGCCCAATCAGCTCTGGGCTCTGGCTACTTCCAATGTCAAAAAAAAAAAAAAAAAAAAAAAAAAAGCTCTGGCTACTTCCACTCCAACGCGGAGAAGAGAAGGAAAGTGCCAGCAGCAAAAGCTAGCTGACAAAATATGCCGTGGTCAACAATCTGTTAGCGTAGCTAGCAGTGCCTGAATTCTACTTCTCCATCTCTCAAAAATCTATATATACCATCAATCAAGCCAGTGGTAAGCGCAAATTAGTTAACAAGAAATCATCGATCCAGCAGAAATAATAATGGAGCTCGCAAGCAGGAGGGCAGCCTCCCTCCTGGCCGTCGCGGCCATTGCTGCCGTCTTCCTCGCCGGCCCGGCCACGGCCGTGGGGAAGACCGGCCAGGTGACCGTCTTCTGGGGCCGGAACAAGGACGAGGGCACCCTCCGCGAGGCCTGCGACTCCGGGCTCTACACCATGGTCATCATGTCCTTCCTCAACGTGTACGGACACGGCAAGTACAACCTCGACCTCTCGGGACACCCCATAGCCGGCATCGGCGACGACATCAAGCACTGCCAGTTCATCGGCGTCCCGGTGTCGCTCTCCATCGGCGGCTTCGGCAACGGCTACTCGCTGCCGTCCAACCGATCGGCGCTCGAGCTCTTCGACTACCTCTGGAACGCCTACTTCGGTGGGTCCAAGGCGGGCGTGTACCGCCCCTTCGGCGACGCGTGGCTCGACGGCGTCGACCTGTTCCTGGAGCACGGCACGCCCGCGGACAGGTACGACGTGCTGGCGCTGGAGCTCGCCAAGCACAACATCCGCGGCGCGCCCGGGAAGCCGCTGCACCTGACAGCGACGCCGCGGTGCACGTTCCCGCCCAGCAGCTACCTCGGCCGCGCTGTGGCGACGGGGATCTTCGAGCGCATCCACATCCGGATCTACGACGACGACAACTGCGAGGCCTACTGGCACCTGGCGTGGGACAAGTGGACGGTGTGGAGATTATGGGTACCCCATACCCACACGGCATGGTTATCCGACTAGTTATAGGGGATAACTTATATGTATGGAATATGTAACAGATTATGACTTGGGTATTACGTTTCCTTGTATATTACGGAACGGCCTAAAGTCCTGGTTTGATAAGATTGTAAAGTAGAGTTAGGAAACCGATACCGTATTGGATAAGGTTTCTATCTTGTAATCCTGCCCCCCATTCTATATAAGGTGGGCAGGAGGCCCTCTAGAGGGCATGAGACAACCTGATCGTCAGATCAATACACACTCAGCGGATTCAAATCCCCAAACAGGAGTAGGGTATTACCTCTCATTGAGAGGGCCTGAACCTGTCTAAATCCTTTGTCTCCACATCCATCCACTTTTAGGTCTCGTGCGCTACCCCGTTTTATTATTGCCGAATTCATGTTTCGACAGTTGGCGCGCCAGGTAGGGGCTGCGTCGAGTTTCCTATCAACGAGCGCGATGGAATCAATTTCATGAGTCGCCGACTTCGCTTTCGCTTTGGGAGTTTTCACTTCCTTTCCGTCGACCACTTCTTCAAGCTCCTCTTCTCTGACTTGATCCAAATCAGTCAGGGGGAAACTCAATCTGATTTTTATCATTATTTATCATATTGATTTTTAATCTCAGATTAATTTCTTGCTATTTTTTGTTGTTGTTCGCATATAACTACGCGGCACTATTGAGGCGATTGATGCTGGTCATGGACTCGAGGCGTCTCAGCTTTCCGGTCGATCGGCCGCGAGTCCACTCCGCCGGCTTGTCCTCGCCACCGCCATTGCTGATAGCAACAACGACTTCACCACCGGCCTGCCTCCGTCGCCGCCGATTGGTGCCTCCGCCTACACGGCTGGCCTATTATGCCGCCGCTGTTGGGCGTCTACGACTTCACCGCCGGCCTGCCTCCGTCGCCGCCGAGTGGTGCCTCCGCCTACACGGCTGGCCTATTATGCCGCTGCTGTTGGGCGTCTACGACTTCACCACCGGCCTGCCTCCGTCGCCGCCGACTGGTGTCCTCGCCTATACGGTCGGTTGGTCACACCACCGTTGATGGGCATCGTCATCTACACCGCCGGCCTGCCTCCGTCGCCGCCGACTGGTGTCCCCGCCTATACGGTCGGTTGGTCACACCACCGTTGATGGGCATCGTCATCTACACCGCCGGCCTGCCTCCGTCGCCGCCGAGTGGTGCCTCCGCCTACACGGCTGGCCTATTATGCCGCCGTTGTTGGGCGCCTACGTCTTCACCGACCGGCTCGCCTTCGCCGCCGCCGACTGGTGTCCTCGCCTGCACGGCTGGCCTATTATGCCGCCGTTGTTGGGCGCCTACGTCTTCACCGACCGGCTCGCCTTCGTCGCCGCCGACTGGTGTCCTCGCCTGCACGGCTGGCCTATTATGCCGCCGTTGTTGGGCGCCTACGTCTTCACCGACCGGCTCGCCTTCGTCGCCGCCGACTGGTGTCCTCGCCTGCACGGCTGGCCTATTATGCCGCCGTTGTTGGGCGCCTACGTCTTCACCGACCGGCTCGCCTTCGTCGCCGCCGACTGGTGTCCTCGCCTGCACGGCTGGCCTATTATGCCGCCGTTGTTGGGCGCCTACGTCTTCACCGACCGGCTCGCCTTCGTCGCCGCCGACTGGTGTCCTCGCCTGCACGGCTGGCCTATTATGCCGCCGTTGTTGGGCGCCTACGTCTTCACCGACCGGCTCGCCTTCGCCGCCGCCGACTGGTGTCCTCGCCTGCACGGCTGGCCTATTATGCCGCCGTTGTTGGGCGCCTACGTCTTCACCGACCGGCTTGCCTTCGCTGCCGCCGACTGGTGTCCTCGCCTGCACGGCTGGCCTATTATGCCGCCGTTGTTGGGCGCCTACGTCTTCACCGACCGGCTTGCCTTTGCCGCCGCCGACTGGTGTTTCCGCCTGCACGGCTGGCCTTTATGCCGCCGTTGTTGGGCGTCTACGTCTTCACCGACCGGCTTGCCTTCGCCGCTACCGATTGGTGCTTCCGCCTGCACGGCAGACTTATTATGCTGCCGTTGTTGGGCGTCTACGTCTTCACCGACCGGCCGCCGCATCCGCCGCTGACTGGTGTCACCGCCTGCACGGCTGGCCTGTTATAACGCCAACTGATGCTACCTTCTTCACGGCTGGCTACATCGCTGTCACTACTAATAGGCATCAGTATCTTCAACACAAGCTGCCTACGTTTGCCATGGCTGCCGACTGGTTTCTTCACTTCCATGGCTGCATGATTCTGCCAGTGTTGATTGGCCTTATCTTCTTCACCGCCGGTCGTCTCGTCTGCTGCTGACTAGTGCCCTCACCTCTACGTCTGGTTTATACAGCTACCACTACTGATGGACATCATCGTCTTCCGTTGCCGACTGGTTATGCCGCCGCCGACTAGTGCTTTTATCTTCACAACTGCGCGTCTTCGCTACCAGTTTGCTTCTGTTGCTGCCGACTCGTGTTCACTTCATCACGGCGATGCAACTTTGTCATCATGGTGGAGCGACTTCTTCTTTATTATCTTCGGCACTGGCAAACTCTATTGCTGCTACTTCGCAAGTTTTACTACTTCACCAACCACGACGTCTTTGTGAACCTCGACATCTCGGCATGCAATGCCATGATATTTTACTACAACAAGTGACTCTCCAATATTCAGGATTTCTACTTGGACACCTTCAACACATATCTTCAATCAAGCAATGACTACTCGACGACAAGAAGCTATAATTCTCGACTCTATGTTCAGTTGTTTTCCAACTAACCAAAGAGTCGGGGGCTACACAAATATAAGGCTCAAAATTTGACAAATTTTATGTCAAGCTGAAGAAATCAATTAATCAGCCAATGAGTCAACTCCAGGAGTCATTATCTTCATCTTTGCTTCGGAACAGACATTCTACTTCAACAACTTCAAATATTTCGGTTTAGACGAGTTGGGCAACAACATCAACTCTCCTCCAATTATTTGTCTTCACGGTTGGCCTACTACGCAACTGCCGATAGAGGATCTCATCGTTATCATCGGCTGCTACATCGCTATTGACTGGATCACCGACATCGTCATCTTCATCAACATCTTGTCAAGCCTCATCAACATAGCCTACTCTGCTGCCGTTGATGGGAAACTTCGTCATCATAGTCGGCTATCTCTGTTGCCGCTAATCATCATTACCGTCGGATGCGTTTGTCGCCGCCGATTATTTTCTTCATCTTCATGATTGGTGGATTTCGCCATCACCGTTGATGCGCGTCTACATCTTCATCGTCGGTTTGCTTTTGTCACCACCGACTGTTCTTTCGTTGTTGTTGGGCGCCTACATCTTCACTGCTAGCTGACCTGACTGTTGCCGACTGGTTTCTTCGCCTCCATGGTTATGCAACTTCATTACATTTGATTGGTGGCATCTTTACTACCACTGACATCTTCCGTTACTTCTGATGAGCAATTTCGTCTTCATGTTGGTCATTTCATCTCCATGCCGACTGCGTCAGCTATTGCCAATAGACAATTTTGACTATGACAGAAGAACAAGCTATATGCTCAGGGGCTCATCAACTCAAGCGTGAGGATTATATCTCCAATTTGGACTTGTTCCGGATACATTCCACATGGATTCATAGTCATGAGTCTATTTTCTATGCTCAAAGACTGGACCAATTATTATTCCCCGTAAGGGCTATCAACCGAATACTTGCGCCAGTCGGGATTCAATTATTATATTTATTTTGGAGTATCCCATAAGGGATAATCATTCAGATCAGAAGCTATTCATATGAGCTACACTTGGTCTATATTACCCGGAAGATTTATTACTCGGGAGCATGTTACATGCGTCATCCTTTAAAGGGTGTCGAAGGCATATTTTTTGGCCTAGGCCTAATATGTCTGCAGCCCATATTTTCAGGTGTGGCCTGTCACGTTCTTTTAGGGACTTAGGCACTTTTTGCTTAGGCCAAAGTGCGCGTGATCAAGTGCCCAATACCTTAAAATCCTTTTATACCGCAGTTACTCAACTTTTTAGGAGTTGGTACAATGCATCTTAAAAGGTGTCAAACAGTAAAGCTTTATATAGCTGTCCCGCTGACTTTTTAATATAGTCATGGTGCTGTTTGGGTTTTAAAGCAATTGATTGGTTACAATATCGTTGCTTTTTGCCACGTAAGTGTGCATTTTTATTGACCAATATTATGGCTTAGGCTGATTATATATTGTGGTCATTTTTCAGGCGGTTGGTAAATCCTTTATGAGTTTATTTACTCGGATTTTATACCACATATGCCGTATATTTCCAGGTGTGGTGGAACCATGTGTCTTCTAGGGACTTAAGCACATCTGTTAAAGCAGTGTGCGCATGGCGTATGCCCAATACTTTGGAAATTTCTTTATTCACAACATACAAGCTTTTTTATAGCTGTTTTGCTATGTGAATTTTCAATAATGTAGCCAACTTTAGGTTACACTCATCATATTTTACAAAGCAGTCGGTATATCACTCGGATCATGTTATTCAGGGATTTACACCGCATATGCTACATATTAATATCAAGTCGCTTGGTTAACTATAATTATCGAAGCCACTCGGTTGGTTGGATTATTTATTCCTTGACTATATGCTTGGTTTGTTCACTTAACCGCATAGTCGAGGGCTACACCTATTAGGTGCATCTAGTCGATGCACCTGACTTTATTTTTCAGCCCTCCACAGTCTTCAGATTTGGTAAAAGTACTCGGGAGACCATGGCAAAGATGATTGAAGTACTCGGCCTTGGAGTAATCTGGTTCGAGAGAAGATTATCTTTTCGACTGTGAAGGTCTCAGGGGCTACTGTGGAGATTATGGGTACCCCATACCCACACGGCATGGTTATCCGACTAGTTATAGGGGATAACTTATATGTATGGAATATGTAACAGATTATGACTTGGGTATTACGTTTCCTTGTATATTACGGAACGGCCTAAAGTCCTGGTTTGATAAGATTGTAAAGTAGAGTTAGGAAACCGATACCGTATTGGATAAGGTTTCTATCTTGTAATCCTGCCCCCCATTCTATATAAGGTGGGCAGGAGGCCCTCTAGAGGGCATGAGACAACCTGATCGTCAGATCAATACACACTCAGCGGATTCAAATCCCCAAACAGGAGTAGGGTATTACCTCTCATTGAGAGGGCCTGAACCTGTCTAAATCCTTTGTCTCCACATCCATCCACTTTTAGGTCTCGTGCGCTACCCCGTTTTATTATTGCCGAATTCATGTTTCGACAGACGGCGGCGTACCCGGCGACACGGTTCTACGTGGGGATGACGGCATCGGAGATGACGCACGGGTGGGTGCACCCCAAGAACGTCTACTACGACGTCGCCCCGTCCACGCAGAAGGCGGACAACTACGGCGGCTTCATGATCTGGGACCGATACTACGACAAGCTGAGCAACTACACCAGCATGGTCAAGGCCTATGCTTGAGCCTCATCTGATCGTGATCGACTTCTCCCATCCGTGCCAGTAGGCCAAGCAGCATCACTGGCTACTACAAACTCTGTCTGTCGAATACTCTGTCTGTCAATCGCCTATCCTCCACCTCGTCTATGTCCGTGTATGCATTTGTGCTTGCAAGAAAGAATAAAGTGAAGAATAAACAGTTATTAGGGCTACATAATAAAAGTGGAGAATAAACATTATATGTATGACCCAGTTGACAATAAAGTACTCAATCTCGAGCATTTTCCTGGCTATATTTATGGTCTCGCACAAAACGATAGTCTGATAGTCAACTAATGTATATTTATAGTATGTGCATGAATAACCTAGGATTATTAACTGAAAGATACATAGCTCCAATATTATCACAATATATTACTCGTGGAGTTTCAACTCCATGTTCTTGCAGCAATGTCTAATTCACATTGTTCCTGCGGCTGCATTGGCAAGAGCTTCGTATTGTTCAGTTTTAGTACTTGATCTTTATATTGTAGCTTGCAATCGGGAGATGGCATACTTTATTAGTTGAAAAAACCAAATGCCCGGTGGAGTTGTAAAGCTCCAAGCAAATTTCTACCTATTTTTTCTGATGTTTCGCTTTTTTATTTGCAATTGTTACACTCAGTGTTCTTTTCATGTTTCAGCAACTATTTTGATGACTTTCCATTTTTTTAAAAAAATATGTTTCGATCCTTTGACAATTTTATCTCAGTTCATATTGATGAATGTGGATGTGTTCTTTGGTCAACTAAATTCTTTGATCGCTGATTTTTAGGCTAGGATTGATCAGCGTCCGATCCTTAGGTTTTTCTTTTAAGAAAAAAAACGCTGCAGAACTCCTGTTATTAATGCATTACTAGTAATTCGCCCGTGCTAACGCTACAGTTATATTTTAAGTACAATAGTGATAAACAGAAAAATCCCACTGGATGTTTTTGCTGTTCTATTTTCTTTTGAAGAGCAAAACGACATATTAATTTGCATTCAAGAAATTAACATATAAGCCCAAAAATAGTCTAATATAAATGCATTATTTAATATGTAATATTCCTTCTAATTAATCTTGTTGACATGGCCCGGATACTGTAAGTAGGAGTAACACCGTTATTCTCTTTGAAAATCGGCAAATCCATATTTCTGTCCCTTATGGAGACACACGCCAGCTTCAACAATCAATCCATCATTTGTGCGTGCGCGACCGCCTCGGGACCGCCCTCCACCACGCTGCCGCTCTCCCGGTTTGTGGGAGCGAGACAGTCCCGTGCGCGACCGTCGGTCCCGCTGAATGGAAGAGCGGCACCGCCTCATTCCCACGTTCCCGTTGTGCGGAGGAGATATATTTGTGCAAATCTTTTTCATGCATGTATATAAACGCAAAACATTAAAAAAAGTATGTTTTGAAATTTTATTATCATTTGTGCCAGCGCCTTTGTCGCCACTCGCCACGCCAAAAAGGACGTGATCTCTCAAGTGCTTACATCATGTGGTTTGATTGTGCCCTAAAGGAAATACAAAAGGTTTTGTAATCAATCAAAATTATATCATCTATATAAAAATCCTTAGGGGGGCTTCTATTATTGCTGGAGAAAATATTAGTTAGAGAAAAAATTATGTCCTTACTTAGGGGTCAAAGTTATATCATCTATATAAGAATGATATTGTAGCTATTGTAAATTAAGCGATGAATATCAATTACTCTAGTGTCTCCCTCTTGTAACGTTCTTCTCCCTAGCCTAAATCTACATTCCTTCTCCAGGAGCCGACACCGGCTGGCTATCTTTTGGGCAATGGTTATCTCGTCATAGCCTCAAGGTCGTGACAAGTCTTGTGGCAAGTTCAAGTTAGTTATAATATAGTAAGAGGGTTTAGAGAATCAATCAAGAAGTTCGTGGTTCAGGAGAGAACATTTCATAATAATGATATTGAGGCAATTGCAGGCTTGAGTAAACAAAATATAAGTATCGGTTAATACTACTTCCGTTTCAGTAAAAAAAAGTAATCTTACGAGGTATGCACCAGTATTTCTGAAATATTATCCTAATTTATTTGCACACTTCAGTCAGATTACCTGGAAAAAGAATAGGAAAATACCAGTTTAGATTATGGCAGCCATATGAAATAGTAAAATATAACATGCCGACATAAGCTGTCAATATAGATTAATTCCCACAAGTATATGACACACTACATTATCGATCTGTATCTACGACAGTTAATACTTTTCTCGTAGCCTAAAAACAAACGTGTATCAAAAGAATGCATTAATACCATGTGAGAAACAACATAGAGCTTTAACATCTTAGGAGGCCCATCACAAAGGTCAGACCATCGAGAATCCCAACCCATTTCCAGCCAGGATGCAGTTGATGTCATCACATCCTTCTTATCATTTGGTTGCAACATATCACTGCTTGTGTTGAAGTGTGAACCTGTTTCCCCGGATTCCTTGCAAGCTGCGGACATGACCCTAAAAGGAATTTAGTACTACATTACAAAATATAACCTTTATGTTTCAGTGCCAACTAGGCCATGAGTGAAGCAGCAAGATTGCCTGCACTGTTTTTCTAAATGAAGTTGATTGTTCATTAATAATCATGAGGCAAACAATTCCCAAAAAATCTACCCGGTATTTATGTAAAATACTCGTATTTATTTAAAGTACTCGTATTTCATTATTACATATATTTTTTTTCATAAACTCACACTACTGGAGAAGTGCTTATCTCTCCCGATTCGCAACCCCCTTTACTCCCGGGTAGCGAACCGGGAGGGAGAATCAGGGACTAAAGATAGCGGTCTTTAGTCCCGGTTCAAATACCCGGGAGTAAATCTCCACCAACCGGGACTAAAGAATTTTCTTTTATTTTTTTTTAATTTGGTTGTGCTGCCTGGTGTACGTGTGTGTGTGTATATATATATGTTTAAATATATATATATATGCATAATATAGAAATGTATATACATATATATATATATATATATGTATATATATATATATGTATATATATATGTATATATATGTATATATATATGTATGTATGTATATGTATGTATGTATATGTATATACATATATGTATGTATGTATATGTATGTACATATATATATGTATGTATATATATGTACATATATATATATATATGTATATATATGTATATATATATATATATATATATATATATATATATATGTATATATATGTATATATATATATGTATGTATGTATATACAAATATGTGTGCACTTAAGTAATTAGAGGCCATATGCATATATATATTAACAAAATATGAGTTTGCAAGTAAGTAAAATACACATATATTACCAAACCAAGTACGCAAAAGTAAATGCATGTGTGCATATATGAATATATAGATATATATATTACAATTCGTTCGGACGTTGTAATCTTTGTTTCTGCTACTACGACTTGGTGGCATCGGAAGAAGAAGGACCGGCTTTATGAATAGTCGATCCATCATAATAAAATTCTCCTGTGGGATCGAGAATTTGCTTGTTGATGAATCCCATTATCTGTTCTTGAACAGCCCTTATGAAATCATCGTGGGTGGTGTTATCTATCAGGTAAATCATCTGTTATTTGGAAAAAAAGGGGATTATATATATCAGGTAAATCATCTGTTATTTGGAAAAAAAAGGGGATTATATATATGAAACCAGTAAGCAAAAATTGATGGAAGAATAAATTTACATACTTCAAGGTCCTGGCCAGTCCTGATTTGGTGTGCTAAGCAGTGCATGTAATGGCATACGTAGTAGCCGCACAAGTTAGTCCCCTTTTCCTGCTTTGCACACTGAAAGAGAAACAACGAGAGATTTAGTATGCATATCTGATTTAGAACAAAGAAGTGATTCAATACAAATTTGGAGCTAGCATGTACTAACCGGAAAATTGAACCTCCGGGTGAGTTTTTCATTCCAGATCCCGCGGACCAATGTACGGAACCGAATCCATGCTCTATTTAGAGTTGTTAGGAAGGATTAATTTATTATCAGAGATCTAGTAGTTATACAATGATTCATAATGACAGTGCAATATATGACAATACCTATCTATCACTTCAAAAATCTTTGCGAAAGTTTTCTCCGGTTTATCCATTGAATCGTAGACATGAACTTTGGATTTCTCAAGGTCGAAAAGAAGAAGGACCCAATGGAATCTGCAATTTGCATTACATGATACATAGTATGATTGTAGGAACTTTGTAGGAACAAAATTGAAGGAACAAAATTGAAGTTAATTATGATTGTAGGAACTCACGATGTGTTGTAGGGAAGTAGTATGAACCTCTTATAATGATGTTGCACTAGGAAATGGACGATATTGTTCTCGGTTTGTTTATCGTATTGTTGTATCATCAGCGTGCTCACTTTGCGTGGGTCCATGAATCCAGTATCGAATTTGTTGTGTTGACGGCACAACTGAATCTCCATTCTACAACGGGGAAAAGGAATGTGTGTGAGCAACGTTCAAAGGAGGAACAAAATTGAACTATAAATAGTACTTACAAAGTCCACGTGCTGAGAATAGAGATGTCGAGGGCTTTCAGGTGGTATAAGTCGAAGACTTCTTTGTAGCGGATCCAAATAACATCTTCTCCTTGGTAATAATCTGAGTTTCGCACCCTAGCTCCGAACATCTCTCTACCCATCGCTGATTTGTCCATGTACCATTGATGGAACCGGTACATCTGTGTAGGTAGCTCTCTGACCTTATCAGGCGTGACTAGCGGTTCACCGAGTTTAAACGTGTACATGACCGGAGCCGTTTCGATAGGTGCGTCCTCTAGCAACTGCTCCATACCCAGTCCCGTATCTTTCAGGAAGTTGCATATCTCTAGTTGTGCCGGTTCTACGACTAACGGTTCAACCTCTTGTCGTGGCTGTTGCCCCAGCTGAGGGACTTCCTTTCCGCACTTCACTGCTGAAGGCTTGGCTTTAAGAGCCTTCCTCAATGTTCGATCATAGTCAGAAACTCCAACCGGTTTGCCCGGTTCGGCCATCTTAATAAAGTGATCCTGAACCTCCGGGGCTATAGGGATCTTCTTTTCCGGACTACGTGGCTTCAACTGCTCCCTAACTTCCGCTCTAACGGCTTCATCGAGCTCCTCCGGAGTCAAGTCGTACGCCCTTTTCTTGAGAGCGGGGAGCCGTGGCTCGTCAGATCTGGCTTTCTTCTTCGGCCTTGATGGTGCAGGTTCATATGGGCGGGACCTTGACGGTGTAGACTTGGCAGCAGGTGCACGCGGAGGAGTAGTTGCCCGCGGGCCTGGCGGTGCAGACTTGGCAGCTGGTGCACGCGGAGGAGGTGGTGGTGCAGGGGATGGAGCCGGAGGAGACTGACGAGGCGGTGATGGCGGAGGAGACTGTGCTTGCGGCGGGGAAGGAGGAGCGGGCGGCCGTTCTTGCCCGGGAAACACGATGTACTTCTTACACCAGAGTATGATGGCGTGGGCTGTGTCTCCAAGTTTCTTCTCCCCGTCTCCTCCGGGGATGTCAAGCTCGAGATCCTTGTAGGTTCGTTCCACCAGCTCTATCTCGACCTTCGCATATCCATGTGTAATGGGCCTGCAATGGTATGTACTCGAAGGGTCCGTGGGTATGGCCATGCCCGACGCAACCTTCACAAGAAATATAGTTCATTAATTACTAATCAACATATATATGTAACAAATTTCGCATTTCGCATACCTTGATAGACAAGTTCCTGAAGGGAGTATGCATATCGCAGGGTGTTCGCTGCGTGATATCATCAACGGGAAAGTGGGTTGCTTCGTGAGCTGCCACTGCCTCAATGCCCTCTGATCCAACTTGGCCCATTGATGCGCAGCTGCTGTGGTTGCCCGAGGGGCTCACCATGACAGGCGCTTGTCTTTCCATTCCGCGCTGCTCGGCCAGGCGTTAGTCCACCTGTCTTGTCACCTCCTCTTGCATCCTTGCCTCGTAGGTGGACACCCTGTACTCAAGATCGACAATCTTAGCCTCTGTATTCCTCTTGCTCCTCATCCGACTCCTATACGTGTGGATGTCCTCTTTGAATCCATATTTCCAAGGAAGGACGCCTTTTCCTCACGTTCGCCCTGGATGCTCAGGATTCTGTAGTGCGAGGGTGAGCTCGTCCTTCTCTCTGTCGGGCCAGAAAGTCCCCTGCGTAGAGGCTTCAATTGCATCCGCAAGTCGGCGTGCTGCATCTCGAATCTCATCGCCGAATATGAGGGAGCCATCACCTGGATTGAGCGATCCACCATGTGCATAGAACTAGTTCCTCGATCGCTCAGGCCAATTAGCCGTGGCCGGCTCGATACCCCTTGCTATCAAGTCAGCTTCCAACTTGTCCCACTTAGGGATTGCCTTTCCATATCCACCTGACCCAAGTCGGTGATGGTATTTCTTCTTAGCTGCATTGGCTTTGTTCTTTTCTATCTGTGCTTGCCCTTGCAATCCAGTCTTGTATGCCACAAACGCATCCCAGTGATCCCTAAGCTTGTTATGCACGTTGAAATCAGGTGTCAAGCCCTTGAGGATGTATCTCTTGTACAGATCTGATTTGTAGCCCTTGTACAGATCCTCGTTCGTGAAAGTCGTTAAGTCGCTAAGTCGCTAAGTCGTCGTTCGCTAAAACGTTCTCGATCGTTCAAACGTTCCACCGTGGAGTCGGCGGTGGAGTCGGCGCGTGGCGGCGGCGACGGTGGCCGGCGGTGGAGTCGGCGATGACGATAGCGGTGAGGTGGAGGTGGAGGTGGAGTTGGCGCGCCGCGGCGGCGGCGGCGGGGGTGGAGTCGGCGCGCGGCGCGGTGGAGTCGGCGGCGGCGGTGGCAGCGGCGGTGGAGGTGGAGGTGGAGTTGGCGCGTTGCGGCGGCGGCGGCGGTGGAGGTGGAGTCGGCACGCGGCGGCGGTGGTGTCGGCGCGCGGCGGCGGTATTGTCGGCGCGCGGCGGCGGCAGCCGGCGGTGGAGTCGGCGACGACGATGGCGGCGAGGTCCGGTCGGCCGGCGCGTGTCAAGATCGATCGAGAGAGAGAGAATGCGAGATCGGAGGCGCAAGATTTGCGCCCCTCACCTTGAGGGAGGCAACGCTGCCGGTGGCGTTGGCGAGGGTGGATGAGCACGACGACGATGACGGCGGAGGCGGCGGCAACGTCTGGGGCGGTAATGGCGCTGGAGGAAGAAGATCGATCGTGGAGAAGTCTAAGTGTGGCGCGGGGAAGCCGATGCAGTGGATATTTATACCCGGTAATCTTTTGTCCCGGTTCGTGGCTTAAACCGGGACTAAAGATATCTTTAGTCCCGGTTTAAGCCACGAACCGGGACAAAAGATGTTTTCCCGCTATTCCAAAATTTGTATTGGTCCCGGATACTGTTAATAATCGGGACTAAAGATGTGTAACCTTCTTAAATTGTCTTACAAGTCGAAATAAATACCAATAAATCCAATATAATTAGCACATGGCCGATTTATATGGTTTCAAAGTCCAAATAAATACCAAAATCGTACGTAATTTACGTATGGCCGAATTAAATGTTTCCAAAATTTTAATAAATAGAAATAAACAGGATATGCCTAAGTAAATGGTCTCAAAGTATAAATAAATAGAAATAAGCATTTATAATTAACATAAGGCCAATTTAATTATATTCAAAGTGTAAATAAATAGAAGTTATCATTTATAATTAAGATATGGCCTACTTAATTGTTTTCAAAGTGGAAATAAATACCAATAATCAGTTGTAAATAACATATTGCCTAATTAATTGTATTCAAAGTGTAAATAAATGGAAGTAACCATTTATAAATATCATATGGTTGAAAAATAGTAATACATTACAAATTAAGCAGTTGAGAATAATATATTGATCCAAATTGTTCGACCTTAAATACAATACAAATAATTTACATCTTCCATCAAACAACCTAGGTCACTGTCTTCCTCACGTACTTTCTCCTCACTATTGTTCCTTCGCTATGATCGTTGCGTGAGTATGGCGTGTCCTCCTTTGATAGTATGATGCTCGGGTCAACCGTCACTGCAAATGGTGGTTGCCCCTCAAATAGATCGTAATTTTCGTCAGTCTTATCCTCGACTCGAACGATTTTCCTCTTGCCTGGGAGAACAACATAGCGTCTTGGCTCATCGGGCCCTTTCCCCTTCTTTGGTTTGCTATCCATGTCCTTCACGTAAAAAACTTGCGTTACATCATTGGCTAGAACGAATGGTTCATCTGAGTATCCTACCTTGTTTAGGTCAACCGTTGTCATCCCGCTGTCATCAATCGTTACGCCTCCACCAGTCAGCCTAACCCATTGGCACCGAAACAGAGGGACCTTCAGGGGTCCATACTCTAGTTCCCAAATGTTGTCGATGACACCGTAATACGTGCTAGTTGGACCATCATGTCCTATGGCATCGATACGAACACCACTGTTCTGGTTCGTGCTCTTTTTGTCTTGGGCTCTTGTGTAAAAAGTGTATCCATTGATTTCATAACCTTGGAATGTAGTTACCGAGCCGGAGGGTCCCCTAGCCAAGAAGGCTAGTTGTCGGTCAATCGTCTCGTTACCCAGGAGGTGTTCTCGCAGCCAAGCGGGGAAAGTATCAATATGATGGCGTGTAATCCAGGCATCGGACTTGCCACTGTTTTTTGAGCGAACAATCACAAGGTGCTCATCGATGTAAGGAGCAACCAACGAAGATTGTTGCAAAACCGTGAAATGTGCTTTACGGAATAAATCGTTGTCTACAGTCATAATTGCTCTCCTTCCAAGTGTGCCCTTTCCCCGTAGTCTCCCCTCATGGATTGATTCGGATACCCCGATTGGCTCGAGGTCTTCAATAAAATCTACGCAGAACTCAATGACCTCCTCTGTTCCATACCCCTTCGCGATGCTTGCTTCCGGACGAGAACGGTTACGAACGTACTTCTTTAGAACGCCCATGTACCTCTCGAAAGGAAACATGTTGTGTAGGTACACAGGACCGAGAATACCGATCTCTTTTACAAGGTAGCACAGAAGATGCGTCATTATATTGAAGAATGATGGTGGAAAGATCAACTCAAAGCTGACAAGGCATTGCACCACGTCATGCTGAAGGGCGGCTAAACTTTCTGGATCGATGACTTTCTGTGAAATTGCGTTCATGAAAGCACAAAGCTTTGTTATTGTTGCCCGCACATTATCAGAAAGGATACCACGAATTATTACAGGAAGCAGCTGTGTCATAAGCACGTGACAGTCATGAGACTTTAGGTTTGTGAACTTCTTATCCTTCGTGCTTATTATTCTCTTTACATTCGAGGAGTATCCGGACGGTACCTTGATGCTCTCTAGGCATTGAAACATACTCTCCTCTTCCTTGCTTAGGGTGTAGCTCGCCGGACTTAAGTAATGGCTTCCTTTCTCGTTCGGTTCCGGATAAAGGCCCTCGCGTTGTTCCATATGCTTGAGATCATTGCATGCTTCAAGTGTATCTTTGGACTTCCCATATACACCTATGAAGCCCAGCAGGTTTACGCAAAGGTTCTTAGTGAGGTGCATCACGTCGATTGCGTGGCGAACGTCCAAGACCTCCCAATAGGGTAGCTCCCAAAAAATAGAGTTTTTCTTCCACATCGCCGCGTGACCATCTTCGCTCTCTATAGGTTGGCTGCCAGGCCCCTTTCCAAATACTACTTTCAGATCCTTCACCATTTCGAATACTGCTTTCCCGTTGCGATGTTTAGGCTTAGTACGATGGTCTGCCTTCTGTTCGAAGTGCTTGCCTTTTTTCCGTACAGGGTGGTTTGCAGCAAGGAATCGACGATGGCCCATGTACACAACCTTCCTGCAATGCTTCAGATAAGTACTTTCAGTTTCATCCAAACAGTGAGTGCAAGCGTTGTACCCCTTGTTTGATTGTCCGGATAGGTTACTAAGTGCAGGCCAATCGTTAATTGTAACGAATAGGAACGCTCGTAGGTTAAATTGCTCCTGCTTGTCCTCATCCCACACGGGGATGCCCTCTTTCCTCCACAGCACTTTCAGATCTTCAACCATTGGTTTTAGGTACATATCAATGTTGTTACCAGGTTGCTTCGGGCCTTGAATAATAATCGGCATCATGATGTACTTCCGCTTCATACATAGCCAAGGGGGAAGATTGTAGATGCACATGGTGACTGGCTAGGTGCTATGGCCACTGCTCATCTCTCTAAACGGATTCATTCCATCCGTGCTTAAACCGAACCTCACGTTTCGTGCATCCTCGCCGAAGTCTTTAAATGTTCTGTCGATATTTCGCCACTGCGACCCGTCAGCGGGGTGTCTCAGCATCCCATCCTGTTTACGTTCTTCTGCGTGCCACCACATCATTCTAGCATGTGATTTGTTCCTAAAAAACCACCTCAGCCTTGGTATTATAGGTAAATACCACATCACCTTAGCAGGAATTCTCTTCTTCAAAGGCTGTCCGTCAACTTCATCTGGATCATCTCGCCTTATCTTGTATCGTAGTGCTTTGCAAACAGGGCATGCTTCCAGCTTTTCGTACTCACCGCGATACAGGATACAGTCGTTTGGACACGCGTGAATCTTCTGTACTTCCAGACCTAGAGGGCAGACTGTCTTCTTAGCTTCGTACGTACTTTCGGGCAATTCGTTCCCCTCCGGAAGAATGTTCTTTACGAGTTTCAATAACTCGCCGAATGCCTTGTCACTCACACCATTTTTAGCCTTCCATTGCAAGAATTCTAGTATGGTACTCAACTTTTTGTAGCCCTTCTCGCAACCTGGGTACAACGTTGTTCTGTGATCCGCTAACATGCGCTCCAGTTTCTGCACCTCTGTAACACCCTGAAAATTCGACCGACAAAAATCTAAACTCTAAAAATATGGGCCTTCAAAAACTTTTTAAATAAATTGCATCATGCCGATTTTATTCGCCTATTCCATTGGATTTTGATTTCGGAGTTTGTTGATCGCGAATAAAGAATAATTAATTAGGAATAAAACCTAAAATTAAATGAGCAAAATAAATAACTGAAATATAATTTAAAATAAAGGTTGAGGTGGGGCTAGAAATGAATAAAATATCATCGCAGTCATATTTGTATTAATTTAATCTAAATACGACGGAATAAGAATTAACCCTAATTAAAAATTCAAACAAATTATATAAATAAAATATGAGTAATATTAATCTAGAGTAAATCCATCGGTTGGAATGACACAAATATTGAGTAAACTTCATTTATACAAAATCCAGGATTTATAGAATCAAATTTACAAGAAATAGGCTAAAATGGGGATTAAATAGGAAAAGACACTATTCATCGGCCGCCAAGTGTTCGACGTGGTCCCCTAACCCAGCCCCTCCTTTTTCCCCCTCTCTTTGTCGCCACCTTCACCACGCGCCGCTGCTCGTCGCACCTGGCCATCTCGCGCCCCGAGCCGCCGCGCGCCGTCGCAATCGTCGCCTGCCGCCGCACCGCCGTCGCCATCGCCGCCTGTCGCCGTCGCCATCCAATCGCCGCTGCCGCGCCGCGCCGCCATCGCGTCGCCTCGTGCCGCGCGCCTGGCCGCCTCGCGCCCCGCGCCCCGTACCTCTCGCGCCGTCGCCACCGCCGCTGCTGCGCTGACGCCGTCGCCATCGCGTCCCACCTCGCGCCACGCGTGTGTCCCATCGCCGCCTCGCGCCGCGCGTCACCACTGCCGCGCCGTCGTCGTCGCCATCCCGTCGCCGCGCGCGCGTTCCATCGCCGCCTCGCGCCCCGCGCCGCCGTCGCGTCACCCGCCCGCTCTCTTCCCTCTTCCCCTTACTCCCCCCTCTCCCCAATAAAAGCCCCACCGTTCTCCCCTCTCCTCACTCCATCTTCCCCCTCCTCTCCCTCTTCCCCTTCTCCACGCGCCGCCGTCGTCGTGCCGCCGCGTCGCCGCCTTCGAGCCACCGCGCCGCCGCTCTCGTGCTGTCGTGCCGCCGCATTTGTGCCGCCGCGCCGCCGCCTCAGTGTGCCGCGCCGTGCACCGTCGTCGCCGCCGCCGTCGTCGCCACCACCGCCATCGGTGAGCCGCTGCCCCCCCCTGTTTTTTGCCGTGCCGCCGGGTAGAGAGGGAGCCAAGAGAGAGAGATGAAGGGAGAAGCCGAGGGAGAGAAAGAAGAAGGAAGGAGGTGAGAAACCGGGAGGGAGAGAGAGAGAAAGAAAAAGAAAAGAAAAGAGAGAGAAGGAAAAGAAAAGAAAAGAGAGAGAAGGAAAAAGAAAAGAAAAGAGAGAGAGAAAGAAAAAGAAAAGAAAAAGAAAGGAAGGAAAAAGAAAAAGAAAGGGAGAAAAAGAAAAGTGAAATAAATAGGAAATTAGAGGGAGATTAGGGAAATTTAGAAAATTTAAAATAATTAGAATTTAATTATAGATTAATTATAGTCGAAGAATTGCGAAATTTAATATAAATTATGGATTATTCTTGGTAATTTCTATAATAAATCAATTCGCGGTAGTAATTTAGATGTAATTAATAACTAAACAAATAGATGAATTCTTATAGATTATTTTTGGGTAATCTCTATAAGTAATCGATTCACGGTAGAAATTCGGATTTAATTACTACGGATTTTAGCCGTGTGTTATATTTAATCGTTTAATCATAGACTAAATTAAATCGTACAATATTATAAGATGATTTTTGGATTTTGTCCGATATTTAGCTCGCGATAGAAATTTCTAACCTATTATATGGATATAATGGTCGGGTAGCTTAAATTAAAAACTTATGATAACAAAATATTTATACCCGCAAAAATAGTTTAGAATGTATAAATCGAGATTGGGTTCGCCCTAGTTCGCGAATAGTAAAGTTAATATAAAACAGTCGACTTTCGCATTCGACTTCCATTTGGATTTATTTGGATTTTTATTTGGATTCAAACCGAATTCAAATCAATTTTCGCACGTAACTGTAGAGCCCGAGGGAGTTGCGGATCCAAGTGAAGGCCAAGACCCGCAAGACTTTGCACAAGGCAAGTCATCACTATTCTTTGAACATGTTGATCCCAATTGCGAAATTATTTTTATTTACAAATAAAAATTGCATGCAAAGATGAACATCCTACTTGTGATTATGCCATGCATTGATTATTGTTTACCCTTAAATCCTTGTAACCATGATTTACGTATAAGTCCCTAGTCAACTATGACAAATGCTTAGAAATGCTACTCTAGATTTATGCATACTCATATTTATCAAATGCTATATGCTTGGGCAATTACCTTTGGGAAGGTAATTGAGATGCGGCATGTGGAGACATAAGCGCCACATTGCCATGATGTTGATGATATGATTTGTGAAAGGAGAAATAAAATTAAACAACTGTTTTTGACTGGGGCGGACGGAGGATTTGGGTGGTATCTGGAAAAGGCTAGTACCATCCCCGGTCAATTAAGGACCGAGCCATGAAGTTAAGCATGAAACGACCCCCGTACAACCATACTTCTCGTATGGGTATAGACCTAGCGGATTAGATAGCCGAGCGGAGGCAGTATCCCTGTATAGATGGTTCACCCCTGAGTGAGGCAGGTGCGCTACGGTGGGACAGCCGTTGAGGTAGGGCCGAGAGGCGTGCCCTACATCGGTGTCGCCATCAGTAGGACTGCCATGAGTGTGTGAGAGAGAGAACTTAACTTGAACCATAATTTAATATGTGTGTGAGACTTCTCTTTCCCGGGAGCGCCAGAACTCCTCTCACTGCTAGAAACATGGTCGAAAAGCTTTGCCGTGACACATCTCATGTGTTGGGACGAGGCTCATGTGTTGGGCAGTCGCGGAGTGCGGGTAAAGTGTACATCCACTGCAGTGTGTGTAAACCAAATCTATTCGAATAGCCGTGCTCGCGGTTATTGAGCACTGGGACATGTATTACACTTGGCTAGACTCTAAATTCTTAACTTGTGTGGGATGGAATATTGCATGATGATTTCTATACTGATGGAGCCACTTCCTGAGAGGCGGGAATGTGGACGTCCTCAGAAAACAATGGCGGGAAGCTATCCTTGGGATCACAATGGATGGTGGACAAAACCGTCATTGTTTAATATGAACACTAGTACTAAAATTTGATCAATCTGTGCTAGGTCTTAGGCTTGTGAAAAGAATTACAAAACATGCTTTGCGCAAAAGAACCAAAGCCATCCTTTGAATACCCCTGTCATATGCATTGTTGCTGTGGTGGCTTGCTGAGTACGGATGGTACTCACCCTTGCAATATACAAACTTAATCAGAAGTCGGAGATGAAGCTTCGGAGGATCCCTACGCTTACTACCAGGAGGGTGATGAAGAGGATGGCGCTCAGTAGGTCTTAGTTACGGTCGTTGCCTCTGGCAATGGCGTTCCGCTGCCTTACCTACTTCTGTTTTTGGAATGAATTCCGGACCGCTCGGTCTGATGATTTAAGACTATGTCTGTGGGCTTATGATGTAATAATTTGTACTAGACACTCGTGTATGTGCACTTGGTATTTCAGCTATGAATTCGTGTGTACCAGACTACTTGATCCAGGGAAATGGTACTGTTTACACGATTGATTCCTGTTATAAAAACAAGGGTCTACAGAGCTGGTATCAGAGCCATACGACTGTAGGAAAAGACCAAAATGCACCCCAACCCTTTTCTAAGTTGGCCAAGGGATAAATTCCCATATAGTAATACTTTCAAAAATAAAAACGCTATGTTTACAAAACTCTGTACGATTTCCATCTAACTCTTAACTATTTTCTTCACAAAACGAGTTGTAATCTTAGCTAACCTTGGGTTTTTCTTAAAATTAGATGGCAGATCAGGATTCACCCGCTACCTGGGAGATGGGCGTACCCCGCTCAGAGGGATACGTCATTGAGCTACACCGGCTGATGAGGCGTCTGCGATACCCCAGATTTCCGATCTACCGAGTGAGACAGTGTGGATCTGTTTGGGAGGCTCGGGTCGACGATTACACACGAGTTCCTTCAGAGTCAGACTACCGCTTCCCGACACGCCACCGTCGCGACTTAACGGAGACCGCGATGCAGGATGCAGCACGGGAGGCCTTCCTCCGACTTAGCTCTATCCACCGAGCCGAGTTGGCGAGTACTGAGTTTGCTCACCACCCGTTTCGAGAGGAGAGCAACTCTGTCTGCACAGTTCAGGACACACCCTGCTGCTACAACCCGATAGTGACCCGACTGTCACGATGGGCTGAGGCAGTAGACGACTTTTACGAGGAGGCTCTGTTAGAGATCGACGACCAGCAGAGGCGTGTGGGAGAGTTAGAGACCGAGGTGACTGACCTCACAGTGCAGCAACTTCAGCTAGAGGAGGAGCACTAGGCTTGGGGCAGTGAGATAGACTCACTGAAGGCACAGCTCCAGGTCCACGGCGACCAGTTCCAGCAGTTATCCGATCAGTACAACGATCGCCGCGGGATGATGGATACACTTGAGGAGCAGTTGAAAGAGAGTCAGGAGCACGTCAGCCAGCTGGAGGAGCAGCTTCGAGCAGCCATGATCAGCACCACAGGAGCTTCTACTTCCACAGCAGTAGGGCGTGACTGCCACTTCTTCCTCACCCCGCCGTACCCACCAGCGTTCCACGCTCTTCTGGGAGAGGCTGGTATGCTAGCTACCGAGTCAGCACCTTACCTAGTGGACCCGACAGAGACACAACCACCTGCCCCGGGGATGGTGCACACTCCACTTATCCCTACACCTTCTCCGCAGCTGGGTTCCAGTTTGGAGACTCTGATCCAGGTCGACTCTGAGACAGAGGGGACCGACACCGAGCCAGAGATCGAGCCAGACATCACTGACCCTTCAGAGGATGAGACTCCTGTTCC